TTTTCGAGTAGTTTCAGTTTAAGAAATTAAAATGTCCACCATTTTGAAATTTTAAGTTGAATAAAGATAAACTTATTTTCTAACATGGGTCTATTTTATCTATGACATACATATACATATTAAATATTAGTCATTTTAAATTAATTTAAATACTATTAAATAAACAAATTTATTTATATTTATATTATCTACTATGACTTTTTCTATGTTTCCATTGTTTGCAAATCGGTTATTTAAATGATTGCTCAAGAAATGTAGCACAGTGTTAATTCATTTTTATTTTTAGCCTATATGAAATTGTCCAAGATTTCTCGCTCTTTTCCATTGTAATAATTACACCAACCCAAGTTTCGTCTACATATGCAATATGCCAAAGAATATCACCTACGTACAATCTCCAAGAAGTGGTATAAAAGGCAGAAATCAACCCATACAATAAATATAAGTTAACTCCATAAGAAATAATTTTAAAAGTTACTGTGATATTAGGATTTTTTACTGATTTGGTAATAGAACATTATATTGCAAAACATGACACGATGCAGAAGAAAATCAATTTTAAAATCAGAAAAAACCATTGCAAATACTTCATTTTGACAAATTTAGTAAATCACAATTTAAATATTAACAGCTGTTTCATTAAAAAGTAGTGTAAATGTATGCATATGGTCGTGATGTAAACAAATCTGAAAAGGGGACTTTAAAGACCTCTGGGACAGAGCCCCAAGGGAATTTACCTTGTTTCTCTTTTGATGGCTCATCTTCAGACTAAGACCTTTCTTTAGAGACCCCTACCAAGTTTCTACGCCCAGCCGTTCTCTGAAATAAGCTGTGACAAAAACCCGTTTTTCCTCCATAAGAATAACATGGGATGGGAATTTAAAGGCCACTGGGGCAGAGCCCCAAGGGAATTTACCAAGTTTCTCTTTTGATGGCTCATCTACAGACCAAGACCTTTCTTTAGAGACCCCTACCGAGTTTCTACGCCCAGCCGTTCTCTCAAATTAGCTGTCACAAAGAAAAACAGTTTCAAATTAATATTTTAAAACAATAGAACTAAGCTCATATAGCTACACACCAATGATGATTTAATAGTCAACTTTCTGGTTTGGATTTTGTGGTTGATAGTCATTAAATAGCTAAACAATAGTAACACAGATAAAATAGCTATTATATAAAAAACTTATAAATTATAGTGCAAAATCCCGTGTTTTTGTAATGTGTTATTATTACAATTGCCATTGCAATTTGTGTTATTTGCATTTATTGTCATTTACTTTTGATTTGTACCTAGTCGTTTGAGCAAAGTAAAACAAACACAAAAGTATATTTTAGTTTTTAAGTTACATGAAAGTCGATTTAGGCACTTGTACCATTTTTAGGATAGTAAAAGTATTTTTGAACAGATTTTTGAACAGCATTTTGTTGTCAAATGTTTTAGCGAATTTCCTTTAGGGAAGTAGCTATTACCGTAGGTGGCATGGTAAGACCTAGACCCGGGACCGATTTACTTTTTCATTTTGATGTCCCAAGAGGCCAAAAACACCATTCGTTCAAATTCTTATATATGTATATATATATAGATTTATATTATATATATACGTCTGTGAACGCGATAACTTGAGTAATTTTTGTCCGATTTTGATGAAATTTGGTTTAAAGGTGTAAAGCGGGATAAACTTGAATGAGTTCGCGAACCAGCATGATCGGACCATGGGAACAGGGCTTTACGGGGTAAAAATTGGGTTTTCTCACTTTTGACCCACAAAATTTCCCAATTTCTCTTTAGACCCTTTTAAAGAGCTTAAAAAAAGAAATAATTTAGTATATAAAAGTATTTTTGTTCGGTTATTAGTAACGGAGAAAATTTAAAAAATTGTAAATTTAAAATTCCCATGTTATTCTTATGGAGAATATTGTCAAATGTTGTAATTTGCTTGTTTATGGATATATTTTGATCAAACTTGGCAAATTTATTTATTTTGTACTAAGCTATCAATATTTTACTAAAAAAAACACTTTATTAGTTTCCTTGTAGCAGCAAACCTAATGTTATTAAAATATATTTAATTGAAAATCAGTTCAGACAAATGGAAATTCGCTTAGTCGAAAGGTTTGCTGCGGCGGGGGTATTATGTTCAAACTATTATTGTTAAAACATGTAATTTACCATCCAAAATGATGTGTTATTGTTATGTGTAATTGATTTATTGCCATTTATACGTGATTTCAAAGTTTTACCTTCTGTATCCAATAGTCAATGGTTTTACTTACCCAACAAAATAAATTTGTTTTAATATCCTTATTAAAAGTTTGTAAACAGGCTTCAATGTATTGTTCAATAGGGCCGATTTAGTCGTCATTTAATTATTAATTAGACAAAATAATATGAATGTGAATAGCAATGTTATGTATACAAATGTTACCGTGCTTATATTATAAATGTATAAATTAGAATGAATATTGAATGCATCAATCACTGTGTGCGTAGTGGTAAGAGACGTGTTAGTTGCAAGGCAGCGCCTGAGCGTCGGCGGGTCCCAAATTTTGCTTCCTCCTGATTTATTTCCAAAACTATTCATCATTAATTTTTCCAAAAAATACATGTTATGATTCAACTCAAGCTCTCAAACATTGCCACTGACAAAACTTAACTGACAAAAAAAAAAAAAATTCTAGATCACTTACTTTTTCATGTTCTAATTCTTGATTAAATAATTTCTTTGGGGTTTAACGGCTGTTTATATTACAGTAAAATTATTTTTTGTGTTCCAACTTTACTGTCAGTGAGAAGCACTAATTTATAGTAGCTGTGCCAAATTTGGTAATTTTAAGTCTACTCTAAGTGTGTGTAATAATTATACATTTGGAAAAGGTGATCTACTGCTATAAGCAGCAGTTGCCACCAATTGCCCGTACAAGTGGTGGGGGATTGGCTTCACTGCCAGCAATGCTTGCTGGATATACAAAGCCCCTCTATTTCTATTCTGTGCACTCTGAATACAATAGCAGAGGAATGCGCAAGACCGAGACCAAGGTCACGGCACAGTTGCTATAAAAAACGACGAAACTATCTGTTAAAATTGCGCGCCAACATCAACTAAACGGTCTTCGCACGGCAGACTGTATAAACACGGAGCTAGTACTTTCAGTTGGCAATACTGGCTTCTAGCCTCGAGCGAGGTGGTTCAACTATGGGAAGCCTCAAACTCCTGGGTAATCCCAGTTAGCTCCTCCCACTCTGCCCCCTGTCCCCACCTAAAAGACGATCAAGTGGTTTGTTGGTCATGTCAACTGTCAACCAAGGGGAATCTCGTATTTAATAATTTAGTTTTACATGCCGGTCAACGGGACCGACGATGAAATAACGTGTCGACATACAGGTTTTCTGTATTTATCTATTTACACCGCAGCAACTTGCAGACTATGCAAATTTCCATTTGCCTGATTTGACTTTCAATTAAATCTATTCAAATAACATTACGTTTAACGAGTACCTAGATTTGCTGCCTACAGGGAGGGTAATAAAGTGAGTTTTTTATTAAAATATTAATAGCTTAGTATAAAATAAATAGATTTGATGGGTTTGATCCAAATATATCCATAAACAAGCAAACTACAACAGATAATCTATTCTCCATAAGAATAACATGGGAATTTTAAATTTACATTTTTTTAAATTATCTCCATAACAGTGAGGCATACAACAAAGCTCCAATATACAAAATTATTTATTTTTTTAAACTCTACAAAATGGTTTGAGTTATCACGCTAACGGACACACACACATATATATATTTATATATATATAAAATAAATATGTACCGGTATATGAATTTGAATGGATAGTGTTTTTGGCCTCTGGGGACCTCAAAACGAAAAAGTAAATCGGTCCCGGGTCCAGGTCTTACCATGAGACCTACGGTAATAGCTTATTCCCTATATGGGAAATTCGCTAAAAAAAGACGGTCTAGTAGCTAGACAAGCAAGTATCTTGTCGATCTACTGGTGGCCCCCTTACTGTACATTGGAACTTGGCTTTTAATACCACCACTGTACACTATTTAGTAAATAGTATTTAAATACTTTTGTAAATAGTATTTACAACGCATCTACGCACACAATGTTGTTTTGTGACGCGTGGCTTTAATACAAGAACGTGCAGTGTCTGCAAACTGACCACGGCAACCTCTGCAGCATTTCTGGCCCGGTCTGTACTTTGGACTTATTAAATTTTGGACTTTAGTGAAACGCTCTGCTTATTTCAATATTATACATTCGGACTTTGTGAAATATGGACATTGTGAAACAAGGTTTATTTTACATTTGGTTTTTTGGACTTTGTGAAATTTGGACTTTATGAACCTCACCCAATCTGCAATAACCTAGAAAATGAAAATCACACACAGTACTAGCATTGTACTAGTTTGTCCGCTAACCATATTTGCTTAGCTGTACAAGACGTCTGCAAAACGTCAGCAAAGGCAGAAGCATTTCTGCTTGGGCATTGCCGCCTTGTAGTTCAAGTAAAATTCAAACAAAAATAATGTGATTCTTTAAAAACTGTAGTCCACCTTATTGTGTTTTTTATTTAATCCTGTAGTGTTGGGTTGGCATAATTTAATAATACTGTATTGTATAACGTTTTCCAAGACAATTAAAGAAGTGTTAAGCATGTTTAAGTTATTGTAAATTAGCCTCCCTGTAGCAGCAAACCTAGGTACTTGTTAAACCTAATGTTATTTAAATAGATTTAGGCTGATTTAAAATCAATTCAGGCAAATGGAAATTCTCTTCGTATGCAGATTTGCTGCGGCGGAGGTATTTTCTCCTTGAAGTGATCCGGATTATTGGATTTCTGCAGACCCTTTTCAGTAACTGCAACAAGTAATTTAAGTACATAACAGGGTATTGGTCTGCCGTCTTGTTAACGTTTTCCCTGAAAGAAAGTCAAGTTAATTTTAGTAGGAAGGTGAAAGAGAATTCAATGTAACACCAGATTATGCTTCTTGTAAACGAAGATCTGTATTTTTATTTTATCTTTACAGGCATTTGCCCATAATCTTATATCTACAAATAAACAAGGCAGTTGGGGGTTGTGTAAAATAAAAAAATTAAGATAAGAAATAAAACATACAAATACTGACAAAAAAGGATTGTATTTAAAAATCAGGTCATCACCATCTTTTCATTGCTTAGTATACAGTCTAAACTCTGTACATAACAATGATCGAACAGATGAAAGACAATAAGATTAGATGCCGAATCCGGGCACCCTGGGACCATATGGTGAGGTTGAGATCACGATACATTGCACAATAAATGCCTTTGATAACTGGAATGATGTGTCCAGCCGAGTCACACACAACGGCCAGACTCAGGACCGCTCTCTTACACATCAGTAAACGATTTGAAAACTTAAAAATACATATAAAAAATCTAAAACAATCTAGATCACAAAATGGTTCTCTTTCAATACAAAAATTTCAGGTCTCGGTTATTGGATCCCAGGGACTTTTTCTTTCACTTTACTTTTCATTCATTAATCTATAGAATGTACAATGTATTTTTTATATTTGTTACTTTTTCTTAACAATAACAATAATTCCTGTGTAAAATACACTTTTTAAGAAATTCCCTGAAAAAATGCAACATCAAGGCCCACGATCTTGTCTGTTAAAAACTGTACACAACAGCTGAGCGGAGCCCGTTCAACGAGCCGGCCAGCTCACTCATCTAGCGAAATAATAAAATATAATCTGTTGGTTCGTATATGATTTCAAACAATATAATCTTTAAAATAAACTTTGTATTGTACAATTCGTCGGGAATTTCACTTGGAGCTAGACGGGTGTTTGGTAGCAGACGCATTGAACCGACAACGTGACGTTGACGGATCCACACTGACGAATCCACCGCAATAAATATTCTTATATATATAAAGTCTGGGATGAGGTCGCCAAGGTGGGTCGATCACAGCCACTGGGAAAACCTGGTGACGACCTGCCCTTTAACTGACACGCGACATTTTCTTTCTTTTTCTTATCTTAAAAAAGTTCTATACAATATCACTTGTGACGAGGATGGTGGATCAGTTGAGGTCCCGATCTTCTAAGTACTTGTATTCGAATGTGAAACCCTCCTTTTTGCGCTGGCCCCACTTCTCATAGTCAAAGTAGATATACGTGCCCTGTAAAAAATTTATGTTGTCACAGGAGGCAAATTTTGGTTAACTTAAAATATCATTTAATGTTTACAAAGAGCAGTGGGAACTAGGAAAGTTGTTTAGTATTAGGAATGTGTCAATTCTCAATACGATTCTCGATACCAGTGATTCTTGGACATTGGTATCGATGTTGAGAATTGATGGTCTAGAGTTGATGACGATACAGAAACCTGACACGTCTGCAAAAATTTTGCAATGGCATATTCACGTTTTTTCCGAAGTCGTGGATGACAGTGATAAAATTTCTTTGACTGCGGAAAATGATAATGATATTCCTGTGACCATGGGAGGTATTGAAAATTTCACAGTGATCTCTGGAGACAATGATGATGTTAAATATTTAGAAGACAGCAGAAGATTTCAAGACAGAAATTCAGGATTTTGCCGGGCGACACAATAATGATGTCTACTTCACTACAGGGAAATCCAGGATTTTGCCGGGATCGCGGATGACGATGAGTCTGCGATAAGACAATGAGAACTCCAAGAGATGTTCAGGATTTTTCTGCGATGGCGGTAGACAATGATGATGCTCCACTTATCAATATGGATGCATCATCCATGGAAGATCGTCAAAATTTTACCATGAGCTCAGAAGACGATGATGTGTACAAGACCGTGGGAGATATTCAAGATTTTGCCGTAACCGTGGGTTACGAAAATTTTCATGATTTGGCTGTGATTGTGAAAGATAATGATCATTTTTACAGAACCGCAAGAGATGAGATATTCCAAATTTTTCCACTACTGCGGAAGGCAGTGATGATGGGTTTGTGACCGGGAAATATATTGACTACTACGCAGCAATTAGGAGAAAAAATGTAGATGTCTCTACAACCACCATCTATACAACTAGAGTTTACTACTCTTAGAGGTAAATTTTACAGCATAATCTTTATCCACAGTAATTTTAGGTTACAAAACCATAAATCAATCATCTCTTACTAGTTGTAAGCTAGAGAGAGAATATATTTTAGTGCGCAATAAACAAATAAAAAGAGAATACAATTTAAACCAATCTAAAATTCATTAATAAATTATCTGATTGACAGTTCTTTACTCATTGAATGGCCAATGTTCATTCTTGGACAGCTCCATATATCAACTCTACAAACCTTGTGTATGTTTCATCGTTCAATGATTTTGTTTAGCTGTTTATTTTAACGTATTATAACTTATGAAATGATTCAAACCCATTTAAATGTATCTTTTGTTTGATTAAATCATATTTTTATTTAATTATAAATTGACCTAAACCCGTTCAATACATATGATAAATCTGTAAGGGAGTATGTTTGAGCTATTGTATCATTGTATCAGTGATGACTTTTTTTACCTGTTCATACTCCTCGTTGATCAGTTTGGGCTCCTCATGCCGTTGAAACCACATCATGTACTTTGTGTGGAACCTCCAACTCTGTTTCTTGAGTGCCTTAGCCGCCAGGTACTGTGCCTTGCTGCCCTCCATGTAGTAGAAGATAAAGAAGAGCGTTTCCGTCGACAACCTTTGGAAAAACTCCAGCGTGTCCGAATGTGCCAGTGGTTGCTGTTAACATAATCAATCAATTAATGCACGGTTGGAAATCAATTATGTTCAAATGACAGAAGTTGTACAGTAGATTCCCTCTCATCTAATTTAACCTTTGACTATTAATACAACTAGACATTCCATCCCCATGTTAAATTTGTAGCCAGATTTTTTAATCAAAATTGATGAAGTTGTTGTGAGCCACTGACCAATTGCGCTGATCTAAATTACAAAATTATGTCGAATACACACACTTTTTTACCAGTCAAACTTAGGAAATTACTTATAGTGAGCTATAGCAATTGTTATGACTCATCAACCTGGTCAGCAACAAAAAATAATGCATAAAATAGAATTTTAGACACAAGCACATTCTGTGACTGGGTCACACAACTACGTTCTACACAAAACGTGACGGTCACCGTCACATGGCTCACACTTTGCACACTTTGTTCGTAGCCATTTAAACAAGTACCAAAAAGACATCTCCAAAAGTCATCTAGCCCTCAGCTTAGACAAAGAGCTAGTTCCGCTATAATATGAAATATTATTGCTGTAACTGTTTATTGTTTGTTCAGTACCGTAATATTCACAGACATACCATGAGGTTTTGGAACATATCCATTCATTTATGCATTAGATTGAGTGTCCATTATCATGTTTTTATCTGAAGTTTTAGATAATTTTTTAAGTTTCTAAGGTCCCGATTAGTCCAAACAAGAGAGAGTCTACTGCACATTAACAGGCAACCAAAATACTGAAAATATTTTATAGCTAACTGAGTTCATAGATACCTCAGTTAATTTTCACAATCAGCATCTAGTATGCGTGACACAACAGACGATAATAGAAATTCAGTATTAAAAACAAAGGGAATTAAAATATCTAACAATGCAATTTTGAATTAAATAAATAGTATAGTTCTTTATTTACATAAATTAGGGAATAAGGTTAATGTGTGGCTTTGTGCTCAATAAATCCTCAAATCGAACAGACAGCGGAGCTAAAGAGAGCTGTGACAGAGATAGGGACAATAGTTACTGTTTTAAAATCCGCTATCATTAAGCATGTTAATGTTCTTAAGTAGAAACACTCCAATCATGATAAACACTACAAAACGATGCAATTAGCAAAAGAATCCTTGGATATCTGTGTATTGAAGTAAATAACAAAGATTAATTATTGTAAACATAATTAAAGATTCCATGAAATTTTAATACATAAAACCATTGCTCGATTTGTAAGAAATGAGGTGCCGGAACTGTGTATCATATTCAATGTTCGAGTAGTACCTACGTATGCCAATATTTTTATCTTTCCGAAAGAGAGGTACCGGATCTCCGAACCGCCACGTTCCCCCGCAAATCGAGCACTGCATAAAACTATCTAAAAACTCCTACAACATAGGAAATAAAATTTGAATGAAATTGATTGGCGTACTTCTGTTACCTGATGGTAGTAGCTAGGTGTCTGGCAGGGTGTGCGAGGCAAGTACTGTCTGATCTTCTCAGAGTCGGAGGGGTGGGGCATATGGTAGAACGCAGACTCCATCATCTGGAACTGACACTGATGTTCCTTCTGTAGAGGTACGGGACCCAGTGGGGCTACACCCAGTAGCGGGGGTATGTGCGCCTCAGACGTCTCTCTCTCCCGTAATGTCTTGCTCTCGAATAGTCCTGTCATGGAGTAGAGAGGTCTCAACATTACTCTATATTCATTATTATAGGCGGGGTAAAAAAACAAACAAACAGTACTAACGGCTATGTCAAACAAATAGTGTTTTATTGATAGGGTTTGTCTATAGGATAATCTTACCCTATTTGGGAAATCACAGCAAATTCACTAAAAGCCCAGTAATACGGCATACGATGGTCTGGCACTGTGACCCCACCATCACTGCAGTATGATTTTACAGATGATGAACACCATTGTCAGTAGCCTGTTTTTACATTTAGGTCGCTAATTGAGGTACAGAAAGCTGTTAACTAGGTGGCGTTCGCAGAGGCATCCACAAAATTGAGCGGTGTCATCAAGGGTTCATATTATATTGTTTTTGTCATACTGCAGTAAAAACAGTCGTTTTAATGCATGCGTTGCGGGTATCTAAGAAGCATTTTTTTAAAGGAGTAAAAATCGTATTTAGCCTCTATGGAGTAAAAATCGTTTTTAGCCGCTATGGAGTAAAAATCAGCTGTTGTCAACTCAGTTGTAAATTTCGACTGTAAGTGATTGCATGTATCGAAAATATGTATCGATTCGTGCTTCGTAATCATTTTAACATATAGTCTACAGTCTCTTCCTGTAGCATTCTAGCATTGCAGATACATTAATCCATTCCCACACTCAACACTGCTCACCTTTACTACTTCCTTCACCACCCCCTACGTCGTGGACCTGTTCCCCTCTCTTCCCATGGCATTTTAGGATTGCAGATACTTTAATGTAATTGCCAAAGACAGTTCCCACACTCTGAACTGCTAGCCTTACTACTTCCTTCACCATTTCCTACGTCCTAGACCCGTTTCCTTCCTTTCTCATAGCATTTAAGTATTACAGATACATTCATCTAACTGCCCAAACGGTTCCCCCACTCTGCACTGCCAGCCTTACTTCCTTCACCACTTCCTACGTCATGGGGCCTGTTTCCTTCCCTTCTCAAAGCATTTTAGGATTGAAGATACATTAATCTAACTGCCACAGACGGATCTCACACTATGCTCATACTTAAATACTTCCTAAGCCACTTCCTACGTCGTGGACCTGTATTCATCACTTTCCATAGCATTTTAGTATTTTAAATACCTTAATCTAATTGCCACACTCCGTACGGCTAGCCTTTACTAATTCTTTCACCATTTCCTATGTAGTGGGCATGATTCCATCCCTTCTCATAGCATTTCAGCATTACAGATACATAATAACTGCTACAAACGGTTTCCAGTTCCCAAACTCCACACTGCTCACCTTACTAATTCCTCTTCCTACGTCGTGGACCTGTTTCCCTCTCTTCCCATGGCATTTTAAGACTGTATATACCTTAATCTAATCGTCATAAACAGTTCCCACACTCCGGACTACTTGCATTTACTACTTCATTCACCACTTCCTACGTCGCGGACCTACTTCCCTCCCTTCCCATTGCATTTTAGGATTGCAGATACCTTAATATAATCGTCATAAACAGTCCCCCCCCCCTCCAGACAGCTCGCCTTGACTACTTCCTCCACCACTTCCTACATCAAGGACCTGTTTTCCTCCCTTCCCATAGCATTTTATGATTGTAGATACCTTAATCTAATCGTCACAAACAGTTCCCACAGTCCGGACTGCTTGCCTTTACTACTTCCTTCACCACTTCCTACATCACAGACCTGTTTCCCTCCCTTCCCATAGCATCATAGGATTGCAAATACCTTAATTTAATCGTCACAAACAGTTCCCACAGTCTGGACTGCTTGCCTTTACTACTTCCTTCACCACTTCCTACGTCACAGACCTGTTTCCCTCCCTTCCCATAGTATCATAGGTTTGCAAACACCTTAATCTAATGGTCACAAACAGATCCCACACCCCGAACAGCTCGCCTTTACTACTTCCTTCACCACTTCCTACGTCGCAGACCTGTTTCCTTCTCTTCCAATGGCATAATATGATTGCAGATACCTTAATCTAATCGTCATAAACAGTTCCCACACTCCGGACAGTTCGCCTTGACTACTTCCTTCACCACTTCCTACGTCGCGGACCTGTTTTCCTCCCTTCCCATAGAAGTTTCGGAATGCAGATAACTTACAGTACCTTAATCTAATCGTCATAAACAGTTTCCACACTCCAGACTGCTCACCTTTACTACTTCCTTCACCACTTGATTCGTCACGGACCACCTCAACCTGAAGCACAGAAAACATACTACTATAACCTTATAGGTTATAGTAATATGTTTTCTGTGCCTGAAGCTAGTGTCGTCATTTGATTATATTTATGATCCATGCCGTTTCTGTTCTAATATCTGTGGAATAATGCTATCAGCTATTTCTTTATCTACTGCATTCAAAAGTCAACAGCTGATGATATATCTTTGTTTATGTGTCAAATACTGCTTCCATAAGGATTACATTGAAACTTTGAGACCCAGTGGGGCGGATTCCTGAGAGACTTTTTTAACGCCATATAGATGTTGGCACTCACCGATATGGTCTTTATCACCATGCAAAATTTGAAAACGATTGATTCAGCCGTCTAGGAGGAGTTTGCGTATTACGGAATGCATAAGAGTCGACGTATAAGAGCTTCGCTCACTCCGCTCAAAAAGTTTCGCTGCGGTATCAGGATTATCAATATTTGTTTGGTTTTTTACAACTTGTGTACTAACCTCTGCTGGTTTCAGACGCAGGCATCTCGAGTCCCGCTCTCACAATGACCTGTTGGGCAATGGTCTTGAGAGAGGAGAGGGAGTGGTCAGGGCCAGGTGGCGGGGGTAGTGAGGGGGGAGGTGGTGTGGGGGGTGCTGGTGATGGTGCACTGCTCACTGTAAACACAACAGTTACTAGTAAATATCACACTATTTGGATATTTCATGGTCAGCAATTAAAAAATAAATGAGTACATTAATATGAGTCAATAAACATTGATATACTAACTACTCTATGAGGCCGGGTAGTATGAATTTACTGTAAGAGTAATATAGCTCCTGTGCGAGACTTGGAGAACAGAGAATTTCATGTGAGTTTGACAACACCTTCCTGTTGAAAAAACCAAGGTAAAACCCACCCATGTAATCAAAATAGGGATGAAAAATATTCTCGATTTTCGGAACGGGAATACATTTGATTCAGGAATTTTTCGGGACGGGATTTGATCCGATCGTCGGCAATTTTGCCGCTATCGCGAGAGATGTTCACAATAGTTCCGCGAACCCAGGAGGCAAGGTCGACGATCGTGCCGTGACCGCGAGTCTTACCGACAATCGTCACGCAGTGACCGCGAGATCCAGACTATACAGACCAGACTGGTATTTTGTCATGTAGTTTGAGCTTAGTTTTTAGAATTGACAGATATTTTTTTCTTTTTGTAGAGTATTACTATTACATTTTAAAAGTTTTAATAATTGTAATTAGTTTTATCAAATATATCAGTTTAGTATTAGTTTTATAAATATTGACAAAACTCCTATCTATGTACATTGTACTCCAAAAGATGTTATGAGTATAATAAAGAATTTTAATTTGAATCCTGTTGACACCGCGAGTCAAACCGACGATTTCGCCGTGACCGCGAGTCATTTCGACCATCGTGCCATGACCGCAAGCATTTTGACGATCGCCCAGTGACCGCGGAGTCATCTCGACGATTGCACTGTGACTGCGAGAGATGTTCACGATAGTTCCGCGAACCCAGGAGGCGAAGTCGACGATCACGCCATAACCTTGGAGTCATGCCGACGATCCTGTCGACACCGCGAGTCAAACCGATGATCCCGCCGTGACCGCGTTTGAGTGGTACCAACATAACAACGTTTTACAGCGTCTCAATTTCTAGCAGAGTATCGTGCCAGTGCTGCCTCCATTTGGATTTTTTCAGTCTACGACTATTTAGTATTGTTAAAGGCATGAGCGGTTCCCTGATTCGGTTTACTTGTCAAACTTGGATACGATATTTAGCTGAGAGTGCCGATAATTTTGGGCCGGCATGAACTATGCCGGTTGTCTGATTCAGAATTTAAACGGACAACAAAACATTGACCATGGTGATCATGCATCCTTGTTGAGTTTATAATATGGTAATTAACACCGGACGCGTTGCAGAAAGTCAACAGTCCCGGAAGGTCAAATAATTTATACCTGTGCCGCTAGGTCAAAAACTACAATGTTTGCAGTGTCTGTAGATCAAAAATCCCAGTAAGTCAAATAGTACAGTCCGGGCTAAAAACGTAGTCTATGTTAAAGCAATTGACTTATTGGGAATTTGACCTAATGCAACAGCAGTTTTAATATAACGAAATAAGATAAAAAAGTTCAGTTTCGCTGAGTCAACAGTGCCGGAAGGTCAAAAGTATAATCTGTTAAAAACAACGATAGTCCTCTCGACGCATGACTTAAATAATTTCGTGTTTTGGTGTACTGAAAGTTGTGCTAAAATTTTGAAATTTGGCACAGAGCTTCTTGGTTAGTCCTACTCGATGACTATTTTGTTGGAACTTTAAACTATTTACCGATCTAATTAATAAAAATTGATTTGTATGGTGAAATAGTTTTAAATCGTGATTTCTAACATGAAAAACTTAGCATGCGAGATTATTTGTTTTGTTTTTGGGTTAGAGAGGTTTTGTCTGTGGCAAAGTTGTAGCCAAAAGTGTGATGCGTAAAATATATTTTTTTTAAAATTTTTTACAATCAGTGGTTCAGTAGATAACTTGGGTTGAAGAGGACGGCAAATTTAGCATTTCGCAACGCATGGAAAGAACTACATCGTACGATGCGACTGCTGAGTTGACTTTTAATTTATAGTTCTAAGGACAAGAAAAAGATGAATATACAGATCACCAGTACATTCATATTATTTATAAAACACCTTTCTTTATTACCAGCTTACATTTTTCACTTATAAGAATACATCATAAACAGGGTGTTAAGATAAGCGGGGAGATACTTTACCTAGTAATTCCTTGGGTCAAAATAAACAGAAAATCAAGGCTAACATTTTTTCCAAAATCATTTCGTTAACCAGATATCCACCATTTTGTATTTTTTACATACAAATATTTATCTTTGCACTTTTCCAACCGATGTTTATGAAACTTTGGTATGTATGTTAAGGTAGGAGAGACGCATGTTATAAACAAAGTTTCATCTCGATTCACCCTAAAATTTCAAAATTTAACACTTAACTACAATATAATATGCTTTACTACACCACAATATTTACGTATCACCATAAATCTTTAACAAAATAAAACGTTAACATTTTTAAAATCCAAAGTAAATCAATATAATATTTCAGATCGTCCTTGCGGGTATTTTATGCCACAAATTTTGACGAAAGGCTATACCTATTTACAGTGTTGACCAAACAGTTGAAAAGAAGCATTAATAGATAAGCTATGTACCAAATATGATAATTTTAGCTCTATTCTAATTATGACAAAACACGAAGTAACTAAAAGCGAGTTTTGTTGGTGTAGTAAGCGTTGCAGGAGGTCTACTTTACACTGAATCGACGTTCACTTTTATTGCTTTTGATCTTCCGGCACTGTTGACTCAGCGAAACTGAACTTGTATTTTACCGTATTTCGTTATATTAAACCTGCTGTTGCATTAGGTCAAATTCCCAATAAGTCAATTGCTTTAACATAGACCACGTTTTTAGATCGGACTGTACTATTTGACTTACTGGGACTTTTGATCTACAGACACTGCAAACATTGTAGTTTTTGACCTAGCGGCACAGGTATAAATTATTTGATCTTCCGGGACTGTTGACTTTCAGCAACATTCCCATTAACACCACTGTATTTTATTTGTTTAGTTCGTAAGTTTTTCCCGACTACAATTCAAAATCCCGACCTTTTTCCTGACTTTTATTGAACCTAAAAAATCCCCCAAATTTTCCAAAATCCCTTTTTTCTTGACTGGTAGACACCCTGCAGGAGGCAAAGTTGACGATTGCGCCGTAACCGCGGAGTCATACCGACGATCATGCTGACACCGCGAGTCATACCGGTGATACTGCCGTGACCGTGAGTCATACTGACGATCACGCAGTGACCGAGAGTCATTTCGACAATCCCGATGTGACCACAGAGTCATTCCGATGATCCTGTCGACACCGCGAGTCATACCGACGTTCCCGCCGTGACCGCAAGTCATTTGTACAGTTGTGGCGTGACCGCAAGTCATTTGTACAGTTGTGGCGTAACCGTGTGTCATTTCGACCATTGCGCCGTGACAGTCACAAGTTTCTATACCTGTAAATTTTTACCAATTCTTTGGTTTTAGCGAATTTCCCTATAGGCCGTATAACCACCCAAAATTCAAAGTAGACAATTATTATGAAAACAATACTTTTTCCATATACTATGTATAGAGGAGGAAGTAAAAGAACAGTAATCAGCAAAGATGTATTATGACGACGCTTATTCAAAGATCAATTTGGAATTCTAGTGCAGTAAAATGAATTATATCAGCAAACAATCGATAATCCACAATATGCTCACCAGATGAGGGAGGGGACGTTGAACTAATGTTATTATGTGTCGTGTGAGGTGAAGGTGCTTCAGCCACCCGATGTAGAGGACCCGTCGAGTTGGTGCCAGTTGACTCTCTATCTCTTTCCCTGTCTCGTTCTCTCAGCGTTTCTCTACTGCTTCGCTCCAGTGGTAGTATGGTGCCGTTTTCTGTTGTGTGGGCTGTAAATTGTTTAGACATCGCATTTAGAGGAAGTAAAAAATGTTTACCGGTTAAATTTAAAATAAGATTTTATGGAAATAATTAGGCATTTTAAATTCACTTTTCTTCAGTCAGGATTCATATTCATATAAAGCAGAATAAGGAAATGACAAGTACAATACAATAATACAGAAGACTCTCTTTCCCATTTAGTTTGGACTGAGGATGGTTCGGACCTAGCACAGGTAAGGAAACTAAATAGCCACCTAATAAAACATGTCACAACCTATTTGTCTATCATTGTTTCGTACGAACAGATGCTAATGTTTACAATATCGAGGACAACCAAACTTGGATTTACAACAATTTTGTATACCTAAGTTTCCTTCTCAGTACTAACCAACAAGGATCAACCCGGCAAACAATTGCCCCTTAGTTGAGCTAGACCCAGCCTATGTGGCTTAGCTACCCTTCTCTAAGAGGAGGCTAAGCTCAGGCTCTATGTTTAGCTATGTACAATTTGTAAGATATAGGTACCTACTTTTAAATAGGTTATACGTTTTCAAACTGAGCTAAGTTTGGCAAATTGATATTAATATTAATATGTTGCTAACCGACAAATATCACAGCTCGAATTTCCTCTGGAGGCTATCTATCTTCAAGCATTATAATAGCCTATATTATCTGTACAAAGGAGCGTGATGATTTTAAAAAGTGTCAAGGGATTTTTCTCCTAAACTACTTACCAGCAAAGTTTTATAATGTTAATGTTGCAGCGTGTCGCCAGTCGACAAATGTCACAAAACGGCTTATGTCAAAGCTTATCTTTAAGCATTATTTTAGCCTATATTATCTGTACACAAGAGTGTGATGATTTTGAAAAGTGTCAAGAGATTTTTCTCCTAAGCTACCTGTAAAGTTTAAAAATGTTGGCGTAACAGCGTGTCGCCTGTTGACAAAGGTCGCAAACCGACAAATATCACAGCTTGAATTTTCTCTGGAGGCTATCTATACTATCTATAAGTATTATAGCCTATATTATCTGTAACCAAGAGTGTAATGATTTTGAAAAGTGTGTAGGGATTTTTCTCCTAAACTGCCTGAAAAGTGTTAAAATGTTTGCGTTGCAGCGTGTCGCCTGTCTACAAATGTTGCAAAACGACAAATGTCAAAACTTCAATTTGCTCTGGAAGCTATCTATCCTTAAGCATTATAGCCTATTATTATCTGTAGGCCTACACAAGAATGTGATGATTTTAAGTGTGAAGGGTTTTTCTCCTTAACTAGGCTAGGCTACCTAAATTTTTGTGTGAATAAGTAATACAACTAAACCAAGTCAAAACAAAAACTAAATATCCAGGTAAAAGTTTTCATTGTAAACCCCAATAAAGGGCTGCAAAAGATTCTCCAAAGAATACTCTCAGAGTATAGTAATTAAAGCCCCAGATACTTAAAATCAAAGTGAACAAGTAAACATTATAACCAGCTGATAATCTATACTTATTTAATACGCAAGCAGGATTTTTGTGACAATTACTCCTCCGAAACTACTGAACCGATTCACATGCTTTTGGTGTCATTGGAAAGGGCGTAACGTGAAGTTGTGCAGGAAACTTTCTTTTTAGGTAAATAATTAGAGAGTGAGGCCCTGGGGTCCTTTAAAGGTTCATATTTCTCCATAAGATTAACATGGGAAACAAACATTGTTTTGAAACTCCAGCTGTTGTCAGAAATTTAATATTAATAATTGGTCTCCATGGAAGCAAGAGAAAATTCACAATGTTTACATTTGCTTTGACATTTAAATGTAAACAACGAGAACTGTCAAATGCCTATTTCACAATTTCAGTCAGCTGATCCAAAAAAATAAAAGAACTAGGTGGTAGGTTTATTTAATCTTAAACTTTATGATAGATTATTTATTATTAATCTATTTCCAATGATTATGAAACAGATTTTTCCCGTTGCGAATCAAAAGTTAAAAGTGAGAGGAAGAACATATGTTAATTGTAAACAGTCAATGTGTAAATTAACTATGTTGTATTAACAATGTGTATAGTTTTGGATGTTGGTTTGTGTTTAATGATATAACTTATAATCATAGAATTTTTATTATTTAAGGATTTGGCATATGAGTAAGCCTATGATAAATACACCATTTCAGAGTTCTGCCAGTTTTTGCCTAACTCTGTCTTGTAGAGTTTAAAAAGCCTACACCTTATTGTCTAAAAGTTGGCTAAATAACTTAGGTACGGTACTTTATAAAATCTGACAACCTTTTTACGTTGACTTAAATTGTAAGCTTACCTTTTCCCGTCATCATCAGAAATCATGACTGTTATTAGTTTTTAAACAAGTGATTTGTTTATAAATAACTCCTGTACTTCTTTGTAATTGCTCGATTTTGAGCAACATGTACACTAGTAGTTATAAAATAACTAAGCAATAAGTAAAGGTAGACATTTAGGATGTAACAAGCTAGAAACGTGTTTGACATCTCAGTGCTTTTTGTTGTTCATTGAATGTGTTTAGAAGTAAGGTAAATTGTTGTGCATCCATTATAGTTTGAACTGTATAAAATATTTAATAGTGTATATTGAAAACGAGAATTTGAATGATACTTTGAAAAGTAAATGTGTAGAATTTTACTATGGCTAGTTGATGTTCACACTTGTCGCCAGCTAAAATGACTAAATTATAAAATAATTAATAAAAGCATGCATATTAACTCAACACAATATCTTATTCATGGATGTTTAAAATTCATAAAAAATAGAAAAACATGTGATGATAAAAATAATTATGAATGAAATACTGTAGAGTCTTAGAGAAGTCATAACAGTAGTGGAACGGCAGTAATAACCCTAGCAGTGGCCAACCGTCGCCTGGTGACGGTATGACGTTGATGCTTAGAATGGCCAATGTCGTCTGGTGACGGTATGGGCCGAAATTTTTTTAACGGTAAAAAAACACTTACAATCAACTCAGATGAGATTAATATATATACCATTCGAAAGATCACATTCTGAACTTTCATTTGATTACATAAACAAACCCTGTAGCAGGTATATAACAATGTCACGACGATTAGAAATCAAATGAAATTTTGGCCCGGTACGACTTTTGCAGCCGACACTTGGGAACTGGCAAAACACGTCTTGTTTGGCATTACCCTGCTCGGGTAATTTTCGTCTTGGGATGTTGCGGGTGGTACCACTGGATAGCCATTGATTTTATCTTCATTGTGGTAGTGATATTTATAACTAAATATTGATTGCACAATCGGTACGATTTTATGAAAACAGCTGTTTTCGAAATTTCTAACAAATGGCCAACAGTCGTCTGGTGACAGTATGGAAAATACGAATTATATACAGTGAAAGTTATTATTACTAGTCATATAGTATATCATTTTGAAGAGGAAGAAATTTAGATTCAGAGAGTGGCAGCCCTGCACTCAGGGTTATTTCTGTATGCTCGCATGTAGACGACAAGTGAGTCATTACTGCTACAGTCTGTCAGCTGTCTTGTATTGCCATTGTTTGTTTGTGTTGTTGCCGGTAATAGTTTTATCCGCGATTTATTACTAAATATGTTATTAGTTTCGTAGTGTTAGTGTTAGTGAAGTGTTGTGTGTGTGTATAACAGTAATCTTCATGCATAAATATTACTGAATTGTGTGAAATAGTGTTCATAAAAGGTTGTATTTTGTTAGCATCATGTCCTAAAATGACGATTCTGACATTCAGAGATTGTTGTATACCTATATAATGATATACCCAAGGTGTTATACATTTTTATAAAGGTAAATGAATACACTACAACATGTTTATAATTGTTTGGGGGTAAAAAATTTTGTAAAAAAGTTATAGCCTATACTAAATAGGCCTACTACTGTATTTTGTTAGCATCATGTTCAAAAATGACGATTCTGACATTCAGAGGTGCTATATATGCTATATAATGATTTACCCAAGGTGTTATACATTTTTATAAAGGTAAATGAATACACTACAACATGTTTATATTGGTTTGGGTGTAAAAAATTTGGTAAAAAAATTATATAGGCTACTAAATACTGTACACTCCATTTTCTGGAAATGCGCAAAAAATTCAAAACGTTCTCAAATTGATACATAATCATAGGTGAAAATAACTTTTTACCATCATACTTATGACTTTTTTGGATTCCTTACTTCATTAGCTTTACAAAAATGTAGGCTACATATCATCAGCCTACATAATGTTTCACAACACAAGCAAACACTGTAGGCTATAGTTTACACTTATTTGCGGTTTTGCGGTTATTGTATTATTATGTCCCTATTACGTACCTACAAAAAAAAATATTTCTAACATGTTATACATTTTTATGTAGGTAATTGAATACACTACAAGATTATTATGTTGGTTTTGAAGTAAACAAATTTGGTACAAAAGTTGTATACTAAGTACTGTGAATTTTTTTCTCGAGAAATCGCTAAAATATAAAAACATTATTTTATATACGTATGTTTATAGGTAAAAAATTATTTTTACCATAAACTTTATGACTTTTTTGGATTCCTTACTTCATTAGCTTTACAAATATGTAGGCTACATATCATCAGCCTACATAATGTTTCACAACACAAGCAAACACTGTAGGCTATAGTTTACACTTATTTGCGGTTTTGCGGTTATTGTATTATTATGTCCCTATTACGTACCTACAAAAAAAAATATTTCTAACATGTTATACATTTTTATGTAGGTAATTGAATACACTACAAGATTATTATGTTGGTTTGAAGTAAACAAATTTGGTACAAAAGTTGTATACTAAGTACTGTGAATTTTTTTCTCGAGAAATCGCTAAAATATAAAAACATTATTTTATATACGTATGTTTATAGGTAAAAAATTATTTTTACCATAAACTTTATGACTTTTTTTGATTCCTTACTTCATTAGCTTTACAAACATGTATATATCATTATTAGTATACACATATATTATAGAACTTTTTACAACATAAACTAACACTGTACGGTTTTCAATTTTTTCGGTTCTCCGTTTGTCATTATATTTCGCCCCAAAAACTTATAAAAAAAAATATTTTCCTAACATGTTATATATTTCTATGTAGGGAATTAGATTGTCTACAAAATGTATATAATGAATTTCCCATAAAAAAATCCGTAGAAAAAAAATGCAGAGGCCGCTTTTGAAATTTCAAAAAAAAAAATCAATTTTTTTTATTTTTTTCACTTTACCGATAAAATACACTGTCTAAATCATTATGATATTACTATTTCTAGATTCTCCTGTTCTTTCCGAACAAAATGAATATGAGGTTGGCTAGGTTTACTTGTACGGTTGAATTTTTACGAATTTTCAAAAAATGGTCTGCAAAATCGCCAAAATGGGTTGGCCATTCCCCACTTCTAACATTGGCCACTGCTAGGGTTAAAGTATCGGCTGCCACACTAGTGAACAATACTCTGCTCAGGAAGGACATGGATCCAAACCATGGTTCACCATATGCTATCCAGAACTATATTGAATATGACTTTTCCAAATAGAGAATGAACTTTTTAAAAAAGTAGAATGTTACAGTAGTCTATATATTAATATTTAATTTATTGTAAATACTGAATATTTTGGCAAACTTGACCTATTACAGTACTTACAGGAGATTTTGTTGTTGGTCTGGTTATGAGTGGGTGCAGCGGCAACTGCGGCAAAGTTACCACTGGCAGGGGGCGGAGGGTGGTGATGATTCACATGAACACCGCCCGATGAGGGTGAGCTGCAGACAAAAAAAATGGCAAAACTAAAAAACACATGGAAGAGGTTGAAATTAAAATAGCTACCCATACTTGGCTTGAGAGCTAGTTAGTGCTTGGTATAAGCCAGCAGCTTTTTAAGCGACCCAGCTCTCCTTAATGATTGATCTTTAACGAATTGATGGCCCCAATTAGGAAGCTGATCTTATTTATTGAATCCAAGTCTCTTACCCATCCCACTTTTATATTCACTCATATTTTGGTAACAATATGCACTAGTTGTGTAACTAACCTAAATGATAATTTATTTAAAATGTTGAAGGATACAATGGTAGCCTACTTGAAAGAAATATAAGGAACGACTTTACTTTGACTAATAAGATTGAACTTGACTAAAATAGTAAAATCAAGTTACTTGACTATTTTAAACATATAACTTTTTCATGATGAAAATTTGTTTCTGCAAGAAAATAGACTGTGTTAATAATAAGACCTTAGAATCATCAAATCAAATCAGATTGATTGATTTTATTTCCATTAACTTAGGGATGGACGAGATTGGATTTTTAGTTCGAGACGAGACGAGACGAGATTTTTTATTTCTCATAAAATTTCGAGACGAGATCGAGACGAGATTTCTCTTCTCATACACAACGGGAAATGCACGTTCGAAATTTTTACCTGATTTTGTAACATTGTTAGATGACTGTTTAAATACTAAAATAATGATAATAGGCAAGAATATTAATTTACAATCTTTCATTAAATAACATCAGCATAACATTTTTTATTAATCACGCCTAACTTATTAAAAATGCCTACGATTAGGAAACATGGTGATATCAGTTAGGATAGAGTTCAACTTATCCTAAAATAAAATAAATCATAAAATTAATTTAATAAAGCAATATTAATTTTTATAAAATAGTTACTTGTTTTGACTTTTTTTATAGTAATAAAACATTCCTCACACTGCTTACACTTAAAAAAACTTCTCAAATGTTATTAAAGTAATATTATTAAAATAATGAAAGTAATATTTACATTAAAAGAATTAAAGTAATATTTACATTAAAAGAATTAATTAAATAAGAACGCCTTCGAAAAGGAAACGCAACTACAACACGCTCCTGTATTGCGGGTATTGCATTGACTTTCTGCAGGCGTTTTTAATTTTTTTTTTTTTTTTTTTTTTTTATTCTCGTCTCGATAAAAATCTCGGCCAAAAAGTAATCTCGTCTCGTGTAACGAGATTAAAAATTTCCCGAAAATTTCCCGAAATTTCGAGACTTGACCATCCCTAATTAACATCAAATACACTGAGACATTGCCTTGCCATTTAAATTGTTTGCATCAAGATATAAGGTATACTTTTTTCTTAAGTTTGAGTAAGCTGTGAATTTAAACTTCAGGTTTTATAACTGAACCAAGAACACCAAGAACCAAATATTAAGGTTGAGAAATTATAATTTGCATTTTTATAAACAAAAACTACAATATGAATACTGGACAATTGTGATATTGTAAGTCATTAACAATATAAAAATTGTAAAGTATTCATATTGTAGTTTTTGTTTATAAAAATGCAAATTATAACTTCTCAACCTTAATATTTATTTATTAAGTACTTGAACGTCAAACTATCCGAATCCGAACCTCTAATTATCCAAACCGAATCCGATCAGAACTGAAATTTCACTATCCACACACATCTAAAAATACAAACTTTACTAAACCTGATTACAAATTTTACTGCATTCCACACGGTAAAAAGAACACCACAAAAAACAACATTATCCTTACAAAAAATTTTAATTTAATATGTTTTACCAAAGAATAAAAATATTTTCTATTTTGTGTAGATACAAATTATAAGACTTAAGGACCCCCATTTAAAAGTTCTATCAACATTTTTCTTGCAAAGTAAAACGGATCACTGTATTTAACAACATTTACCTTGTAAAAGTCAATTTACTCCTTAATTCACAAGAGGCACCAATTTCAATTTTTCTAATGACAATTTATTTACAATATACTTTTTTTGTATAACAATTTCAAGTGATTCCAACAATGTTGAACCCAGTAGTGGAGTGCTTACCTGTTGTTGGGTGTTGAGTGAGAGACGGGTTTACTGTTGTTATTGTTGTTGTTGTTTGTCAGCGGTGGCGCTGGTTTACTGTTGGAGTTGAGCAAAGGTATACTGCTATTGCTTGCTCTGACTGCTGTTGGTTTGACCACTACCTACAAGACACACTTATGTTAAACAGTGTATCTATCAGTCCCTTTCCAAAACACTTCCTTTATCAGCCACTTTGCTGCCCGTCGTGGTAGGTGGATTAACTATTAGAGATTAATCAGTGGCTTACTTAGTATCAAAACTAGCTGATTACATTTTACATAATCCACACGGATGTCATACATCCATACATAATGTCAGATACAAAGAGTTAAAATTTTTTTAAAGCAATAAATATTTTAATTTGTTAGATTTAGTCACCAACATTCCACATGAGTGTTCCGGGTCTGCTACAATAAGTGTATAAGATTACTATTTCTTTTAATCATCAACATGTTACTATAAAATTAAGCACTTTACTAAAACTTTTCATCACATCCAGAAATTTGAAAACAATTGATTTCATATCTACTTTAAGGGGCTTAAACAAATAAAAAGATAGTCCAAATCAATGATCAACAGTTAACCCAGTAAAAATAACCCTGTTTAAGATTTTTTCCGAAAACAACTTTTTTTAAGATGGAATATAAAATTGCAAGGTAATTCTTCTTTGGTAAATTTTGGGGATGGACGAGACGAGATTCTCAAAACAAGATTATAGATCTCGTTAGTATTGGGAATAATGTGTTTTCAGTTTCACAATGGTTAACAAATAACAATAAAGCTCTATTAAAAAAACGAATTAATTACAATAACTAATTATTTGTGAAAATAGTTGATACAAAAAGAGTGTACAAAATATCAAAAGCTTACAGGAACTTAAAAATCTCAAATATGAAAAAATGTAAATAAAATAAGAATTTTGTTTGAGTAAAACTATAATATGCACACCACAACTAACTGTATCACAACAAAGACAATCTATAAGAGAAGAAAGAAAACTATAGTGGCTTGTACGGTATTACTTTTGATCTCAGTGATAATAATATCATTTACAATAAAACCTATTATAATCGGTATGGACAGGACCATAACAGATAAACGAATTACCTGATAAAATTATTTTACAGATTTTTTAGATGTATACTGTTAAAAAACGCCTTCAGAAAGTCTCGCCAATACAGGAGCGCGTTGATGTTCCGTTTCCTTTGCAAAGGCGTCCTATTTTTTTTCTTTTTTATAATCTCGTCTCGAAAAAGTTTTGGAGCAAAGTCAAACCATCTTGAACTAAAAAATATTTTTATCAAGCAAATTTCTTGAATATTCGAGACCTGTCCATCCCTAGTAAATTTACATTTTATTAAGTTCAAACAAAACAGCATTTACCTTGGTAGGCAGCTGATCTGTTTCTTTCTTCTTCTTCTCCTCGTTGGAGCTATCACTGGAATGATTATGCAGCGGTAGGGGAGGGGACGGAGGGGGAGATGACGTGAGACTGGTCGGAGTTCCGTTGCTGTCTGTTGTCGCAGACGACGGCAGCCCTACACCCGAAAGCTCGATTTCGTCCAGTCCGATAATGTCGTCGTAGATATACTCATTCTCTTCAAAGTCTGGGTCTTGCGATGACTCTATATAGTACTCTACATCGTCTTTTATCCGTCTTATCTATAAATTAGAACAAATTTATGAAGTCATTGTGCTTATATTTTTTAAGATAACATTAATTTTTTATGTATATATATTATGCATATTATGCGTATACATAGAAAGATATACGCATAATACGTAAAGAGATTTAGGTATTACCTAAAGTGACGCATATTACCTCTGCTGCAGCAAACCTTCAGACTAAGAAAATTTCCATTTGCCTGATTAGGTTTACACATAAATCTCTTTAGGCCTAAATAACATTAGGTTTAGTGAGTACCTAGGTTTGCTTCTACAGGGAGAGTAATAGTGTGTTTTTATAAAAATATTAATAGCTTAGTATAAAATAAATAAATTTGCCAAGTTTGATCAAAATGAAAATCAATAATTTTAAGTGTGCACTTTTGATTAAGCAGCATTAAAAAGGCAATTTAAAAATAATAAACTTACTGTTAAAAGCATTTCTGTACAATTTTAAAATCACCTAAGATCTGGTTTTATTATTAGATCTACAAAGCCAAAATTAGAAACATTTCTAACTTCACAATAATCATTAAAATATAACCAAAATCAAACGAAGATGATTTCAAAAGTTTAAAAATAAAATTCCTACTTTTTATATATGCTGATTATTAACTTTGGGTAAAGATCCATGTGTTGCCAAATCGGTAATCAATTGTGGAACAATGAATCTAAATCTTAAACATATTTTTGACTTTTGTTGTTTTATTTTTAACTAGGCCTAGCAGTGTGGTTCTACGGACGGGGATATTGTGGTCAGTTGAAACCTGATTATATTCAGAACAGTAGTTTTTTATATGAAGTTTGCTCTTTTTTAGATGAAGCCATTTTAGAACTTAGAAAGAATATTTTAAGAATAAATAGATTTACACGCATATTAATTATTGGGATAGTTAAACATTAATTGTTTTCTTACCATTTACTGTAGGAAAACAATTAAGTTTAATATGACTGTAAGAAAGGTGAAAACCCAACAAAAATGAGCGATGTTTAGGTACTTGAAAGTTTCTTTCTACCACTAGTACCATGAACCGATGTTGAAATATCACTACGGATATTTAGATTGGTTAACGTAAGTATCAATGTAGAAGAGATAGAAGCCTATTGGCAGTACGGTTCAGCCATAGCAGCGCAATAGTGGTGAGTCAAAACCGAAATTGACCAATTGGAAAAGCGATTTTAGCAGAATTTGTTAACTTTAACAATCAAAACGACATCCTAAAGATCAGCAGAGATCGCAGGAACATCTGCAATTACCCACTCACTGTGATTGTGTATTTTTACTGCACACAACAGCTATCGAAACGCCAGTAATGAATGGGAGCCTAGATTTTAGGGTATTGGCAACGAATATTTAAACGTATATAAGTTGCCTGGTCCTATACAAATCTGATTCACGGTATTTCTGAACACTGAGGGCTTTGTATGTCGCCATTGTAATTTCTTGAACAAACTACAAATAAAGAATATTTTGATTTGACATTTACAACTCCTATGTTATTCTTATGGAGAAAAAGAAAAATTAAATGGTTTATATTACCTGTCCGTCAGTGATCCTATATTGTCGTCTTAGGCGACCAGTTTCAAGATTAAAGTCCCATCATCAGGCGGTTAAAAATGTCATTTCACTCAAATTGAGGTCGTCGGTAAACACAAATACACGCAAATAAAACATGAAACACAAAAAACACGGATGGACATTGTACAAATATTTATAACTGGCAACTGGCCAGTTATACTCCGACCCAGCACGGATAGATGTGTGGTCATGACTGAGGTGTCCTAAAAGAAAAATGTTGAAGGTTGCTTGTTCATGAATACCTATACATCTTGATTACAATTGGCAAATTTATTTATTTCATCCTATAGCCTACTATTAACATTTAATCAAAAAACACTTTTTCCCATCCCTATAGCAGCAAACCTAAGTAATTGCTAAATCTAATGTTATGTTTTCTCTTAATGAATTTTCTGTTTATGTGTAGTTTTTTTTTGTAATAAATAAATTACTACCAGGTTACTCAAGACCTCTCATACACAGGAGTGAGATGACTGGTAGGCAAAGGTAAAATTAAGAAGCCAAGGGTTCATTACTTAGTAAATTATGAGATTAAGAAATGTTAGCAATTTGTTTTTACTAGAGATGGGCCGATACCAAAAATTGTTGATACCGATACCAATACCACCAAAGTACTCTCGATACCTATTGATACCGATACTTCCGATACCTATCTTTTTTGCACAGTTTCTTCCACTAATAATATTATAAACTGTTATACCATAAAAAAACACAATATGTATGTGTATCAAACTTATATTTTGGTGTTAAAGGTTTATTATTAATTGTAAAAAACAATTGCAAAAATATGGAACTAAGTGTTTTTTTAAAATAGGCCTACTGTAAATGTTTGAATTTGACTAAAGCATGAGATTTAATAAAGTTTCCTCTAATTTATAAATTCTCTACTGTGAATGAATGAACTGAGTGTTTATTTAGTGTGAAGCCCCACCCACCGTCTAACGGGACATGGGGTAGGAAAAGAGAAAGTTTGCTCTAATGCCTGGTTCACATGCCCTCCCTTACCCTCGGCGTCAGTCGCTTGCAGATTTCGATTACACAAACGTTTCTGAGTGTTAATTATTTTAAAACACTGTAGCTAAATCTACACTGTGAATTTGACTATGATGAGATCTAATAAAGTTTCCTCTAGAATTTATAAATATGCTTAGGCCTACAAGTATTAATCTAAGTCATTTGACAGTTTTTTGTATTTATTTTAAAAGCAATTGCAGTTATACTTTAAAAGAAAACTACACATATCTTGGCCTATAAATACTTTTTGTAAGAAGTCTTTTCTCTATAGTGAGTAAAAACGATCGTGGTCAAGGAATGACTGTATTAAAACAGCACACTGTCAATTTTTACAAAAGTATTTTGACTGAAACCTGGTATTTTTTAAAGAGATTGTAGAATAAGTTGACGTCTGTGGAGAAAAGTATGGCAATAGATAAATTTTACTTTTAGCCTACAATAAAGATTATGTTTTGGGACTAGAATCTCCAAAAGAGTGCTTTTATAAAACATGCCATAGTTTTATTTAGTAACAAAAGTGTTTGACTATGTTCCCGATGATACCAAGAGTATAGGTTCGGCAGAGTGGATTCACTGTGAACCGGCCTGCCTCGCCCTTATGCACGACGTCACTATAACTTCCGTGTAGGGGTGTCAAAAATGGATCGGAACAATCGATGTTTTGAACCTGTCTGTAACTAACCTAGTTTTTTTATACTTTAATACTCATTATGCATAAACGAACACGTACTAAAAATCGGATCTCGAATCACGATAAATTATCGATACCCTTCCCACCCACAATAAGCAGTAAGATAAAACGATGTCTAAGCAATCGTCATTTGCTCCATTGAAACACGAAAGTCGATTGGCTGACATGGTAGTGCATTGTCGCCTCCTGACCAATGAGAACTGTTGTTACATACTTTTATTGTCAATATTCACCATTCGTTATAACATTACAAAATCTACATGGACTAAGGCTTATGATATTTTTTAATAAATGCATTGTGTCATAGTAGCACTTAAAACTTCACTAAACTCTTTAATCAGGTAGATAGTACAGATAAATATGGAACTACTTTTTGGCGCAATATAAAGCAAGCCTAACCATACGACGATGACGATGTTAAAGTTTAATGGTTGAATATAATTTTTATAATGATGCGTATAATGCAGGGAGGAAACTGAACATTTCGAAATGTTTAGGTTATTTATTTTGTACTAAAAATAAAAATAATACATCTAAATGTCTGACTTATTGATACAGACATTGTTTAGAATAATTAACTTCCTGTTGGCAGGACATTCGCGCGCCGGTTGTCTCATGAGTTGAGTCTGACATCTTGAAAATGAAATGTAGATTGTGTTGTGCAATGAGCTGAAGCTGAACAATGTCCGGCACCGTCGCTGATAGTTTCTAAGTTGGCTATGAAAATTGTTAACCGTGATTACAAAACTAATACTGAAGCTATAAAGTTAATAAATGTTAAAATAAAATATTTATCCCTGTCGGGTGTCGGTGTCATCGGAATCGACTTTTGACAATTGAGTCTTGGTACCGAACCGATACCAATGTCCAAGTGGTAACCAATGGATGGTGGTATCGATGACGATAATCGACACATCCCTTTTTAGAATCGAATTGAAATTTCAATGCATCGCACTCGCTGCACACCACTACCTATCCCAGTGTCAGCTGTCGCTGTCAGTGAAATGGATGACGCGATGTCTAGGTTGCCGATTATTATTAGGCCTAGTATGTCAATATTGAAAGGGGTTAAGGGATTAAATAAAACTCAAACATTTTCCTTTCTTATTATTTACCTGTCAAATATCAACGAAATCGGCTTAACCTCTACTACTCGACTCGAGTTGCGAGTATATTTAACTAAGTAGGCAAACAGCTAGGATTCGTAACGGCAACGGCAATTTACCCGCTCGGCGGCGCTCTGACTGAACTGACTTAATCCGCACCGATTCGTAGCATTCAGTGGTTCAGTGTGAGTATCGGTATCGAACCCAAAACAGGCAAGTATCGAGAATCGACGATACCACGATACCTTTGGTATCGAGAGTATTTTGGTATTGAGTATCGGTATCGGCCCACCTCTAGTTTTTACGAATTACATAATTTATTTGAAAAACTAAACAGCGAATTACATAATTTATTTGAAAAACTAAACAGCTGTCCCATTGTGACTTATATTTTTGGTGAATGAAACAATCAAGTTAACTGTTCAACAATTTTATTTTTGTGGTCCAGACTATGGTGGTCCTGTATTTGCATCAGATATTTTCCTTCCCACTTGTTCAGTTTTTTACTTACTTGACTGACTTCCACTGACATGTTGTCCAACATTCTCAGTAATGTTTCTAGTTTCCTTATGTGATGCCTATGCCTGTCCAACTTCACTTTTAGGTCATCCATTCTGTCTTGTTTGTCTTTGTCTAACCTCTTCTTCTTCCCTGCCAGCAGCGATTCAATCTCCGATTCAAACTGGTCTTGCTGTGATAAAATCATTATGCATACAACAGTAAAGTAAAAGTATTCAAAATAAATGCCATGTTAACACTAATACCGAAACCCTACTTCGGCTGACGTTAACCGAAACCCCCCGTCTGAGAGACCCCATTTGAAAAATAATGGACCCCTCTTAGAAACACACAAACCGAAACCCTCGGCCTGTGAGACCCAGCTTTAAAATACATTAACGCTGGGCTTCTGAGATGGACATGTTATGAGCAGACAACCTGTCAAGGTCACGGCACCCATGCAAAATGAACAAACAACATATCAATAAGTAGGGGAGGAAAAGGGGAGAAGGTATTGGGGGAATGGAATCTCCCAAGTAAACAGTGTTGCCAAATTGTGTTTTTGAAAATTCCCGTGGGCCTGTCAGACCGGGGTGTTGGTATTAAGTGTTAAAGTACAGAGAAGGCATCTAAACTTACTTAGGTACATCTCTAATCTATTTTAACACGTTAACTGCTGACCACACAATTCTACATTCCATAACATACCAAGCTATTTAGGTTAGGTTTTTTTTTAAAACATTCCCTTATCAGCAGATCTTTGGATTAGTCCTGTACATCCGTAATGTGTAATTGTTAGTTCAAAGAGACTTGCGGCGTATTTTGTTGGCGTGACAAAGCATACAGCCTTTTCCCTGCACTTGGCAATACTGAGGACAAGGACCTCTTTGTAACTTTACAGTGTTCCTAATTGTTTAATTCTTCTAAAACTTGTCCACAAACACTAAGGTTCAAAGTATATGCTAGGCTTGTATTGTAGCTTTTCTATTGGATAGAACAGAACTTAAAAAATATTCTATCACTCATACACACTAATCAAGTTGGCTGTTCCCACTCAAAGCCGCTGTACACTATTAGGCAACAGCAGCGAAAGAGTTAAACCTCTTCCTGGGCTGTGGAAGGATACATCTGTCAATCTCTGAATAAGTTCCGGGTGGGAAACTGATATATCTGTCCAAATAAAATTTCTTTTCTGGGCTTAAGACAGATATGTATATAAGAATGATAGATATACATATAATGTGATGAATGAAAAATAAAGCAAGGGAAGGAATAAGGTTGGATGTATTCGTCTGCCGCCCATAAGAATAGGCTACTCAAGATTAGTAGCAGTATTCATATTTCGTGATAATCGCTACGTGTGGCAGACAGATATATCCTTTTATCTTAGGTTTTTTGTGGGCCTAAGACGGATATATCCGTCAATTCAAATTCTATTTTCTTCACAACTTTAGTAAAAAATTGGTTCAGTGCTAAGGAAAATCTTTTTATAATCAATGAATTATTCCAAGCAAAATAAATACATTTGGTTTCTGAATTTTGGTGCAAAGTAATTAAGCTTCAGCCCTTCATTTAATTTAGTCCTGGAAAGGTTAAAATTTTACATATTCTCCTTGCTTAAGTGAAAGATAACAAGAATAGATTTTTCTTTCTGGATCAAATAGTTGAATATTATAGAACCAGAACAAGATGTAAAAAACTTCATTAAGATCAGACATTGACGTGTTATGTGTCACAGCCTTGTAAAAAACATAACATGGCTGGTGGACCATTAGGATGAGGATAAACTAAGCAGAAGGCCTATTATTTATGTTTGTTTTTATCAACAGTTACACTATACAGAAAAAAAACTTGATTTCTAGTAAAGCTAAATTAAAATTTTCATGAAATTACTCAAACAGTCATTGAGTTACTAACCTGTAAATTTAAAGCGTCTATAGATGTCACAAGCCATGTTGAAATCTCTTCTCTCTCCTTTTGTGCCGGGTCCATCTTCTGGGCAGCCCCTAAGCCCTCTTTGGAGTACGCTTTGGTTTTTGTCTCTCTTTCTACCACCTTAAACCTCTCCATTTGCTGTAAAAATGGTTTTGTAAATTAAACTTAAACAAGTAATTTTGTATCCTTGATTAATTAAGTTTTTGAACAGAGTAGGCCTATGGTTGAAACATTAAGATGTAAAGCCTATAAAAATATGTATATTAAAAAAGAAAGTCTTTTTAGCGAATTTTCTGTGTAGGGAATAAGCTATTACCATAGGGGTGAGGTTCATAATGTCCAAATTTCACAAACTCCAACGTCTAAAATATTAAGTAAACAGTGCGTTTCATAACCTCCAAACTTCATAAACTCCAAAACTATAACTTTCAAATAAGCACAGTTTCACAATGTCCAAATTTCACAAACTCCAACGTTAATATATTAAATAAACAGTGCGTTTCATAACCTCCAAATTTCATAAACTCCAAAACTATAACTTTCAAATAATCACCGATTCACAATGTCCAAATTTCACAAACTCCAACGTTTAAATATCAAATAAACAGAGTGGTTCATAACCTCCAAGTTTCATAAGCTCCAACGGTACAGTCTCTGCCAGAAGTCGCTGCAGAGGTTGCCGTGCCATAACAAAAAAAACTACTGATGTAATCATCATGAAATTTTAACAGCTATTAGAAAATATACTTATAAAATATATTTATATGTTTTAAAATTTTTCATCGGTAAAAAAAATCTCTTACGATATTTGTAGTGGCTTTTTAATTGAGAGACGGAACAGTTAAGAAACTCAGGGAATTAAAGCTATTAAAAATATAAAAATGTAAATTTGATTTGCACATTGTGTGCTAACACATTATTTGAGTCACACAGCTGAGTGTTCTTCAATCATTAAAATGCACGTATAATCAGTAGTTGAGCGCTGGCGAACGGTGCCTGCTATCTGACTGTGGCAACCACTGTAGAGATTTCTGGCCCAGACTGTACCGTTGGAGGTTATGAAATTTGGACATTATGAACCGCACTGTTTATTTGGTATCTTAACGTTGGAGTTTGTGAAACTTGGACATTGTGAAACAGTGATTACTTGAATGTTATAGATTTGGAGCTTATGAAATTTGGAGGTTATGAACCGCTCTGTTTATTTAATATTTAAACGTTGGAGTTTGTGAAACTTGGACATTGTGAACAAGTGATTATTTGAATGTTATAGTTTTGGAGCTTATGAAATTTGGACATTATGAAACGCGCTGTTCATTTAATATTTTAAGCGTTGGAGTTTGTGAAATTTTGAGTTTATGAAACGCTCCCTACCATAGGTCTCATGGTAAGACCTAGATTACTTGGTCTACTCATCTTTAGTGGACGATAATCAGGAAATTAACCTGATAATGAACGCAAATGTGCTAATCAGAGGAACGTCTTTTAGCGAATTTCCCATATAGGGAATAAGCTATTACCGTAGTACTCATGATAAGACCTGGACCCGGGACCGATTTACTTTTTCGTTTTGAGGTCCCTAGAGGCCAAAAACACCATCCATTCAAATTCACATATATATATATATATATATATATGTGTGTGTGTGTGTGTGACCGTTAGCACGATAACTCGAGCAAAAATTATCCGATTTTGATTAAATTTGGTACAAATGTAAAAAACCTATATTTATTCTAACGAGTTCGCGAACCACCATGATCGGACTATGGGAACGGGGGTTTATGGGGGGTTTTATGGGGTAAAAATAGGTTTTTCCCATTTTTGACCCTAAAAACACAAAATTTCACAATTTCTTTCTAAACTATTTTTTAGAGCTTAAAAATAATAATTTAGTATATTGAAGCGTTATTATGCGCCTAATGGTTACGGAGAAAATCCCAAAAAATTTTAAATCTAAAATTCCCATGTTATTGTTATGGAGAATAAGTCAACTGTTGTAGTTTGCTTGTTTATGAATAAATTTTGATCAAATTTGGAAAATGCATTCATTTCTTACTAAACTACAGTACCTATTAACATTTTACAACAAAAACATTTTTTCTCTCCCTGTTATAGCAAACCTGTGTATTTGTTTAACTAATTCTAATCCAACAAAGGGCTACAAACCCGACGACATATTCAATGCGGACGAAACTAGACTTTATTATTAGTACTTACCGGATAAAACATTAGCGTTCAAAGGATACTCATGCCATGGAGGCAAAAATAGTAAGCAGAGAGTTACAGTGCTACTTGGTGCAAATCAAACTGGATCCGTTAAACTCAAACCACTAATGATTGGGAAGGCCAAAAACCCACGTTGTTTCAAAGATGTAAAAATTTTACCGATGGACTACACTTCAAACCCTAAATCTTGGATAAAATCAGAAATTTCCGGCCAGTTGACCAAAAGACATTGATAATGATATGAAGAAGAAGAAAAAATTTGTATGTTTATCGATAATTGTACAGCCTAAGGTGATTTACCCAAGCTAAAAAACATTAAAATTGTGTTTTTACCCCCAAATACAACATCCAAACTACAGCCTCTAGATCAAGGAATCATCAAGAACTTTAGTGTTTTATAGAAAATAATTGGTTTGCCGGTTCCCAAGTGACCTAGAATAAAATAGCCCCACAAAAATCTATGTGCTTGATGCAATGTGGATGGCGTCAAAGGCTTGGAATAATGTAACTGAGAAAACAATCGAAAATTGTTATAAGAAAAGTGGATTCACCCAGAAACCCGAAGAAAATGCAGAAGATGCAGAAGATGCAGATGTGGATATCAGTGTGGTTGATGACCCTCCTAATAATGAACTCGAGCCTCCGACGCGTTGGAATGAAGTTACACGGTCCCTTAATGTTGAGGATCCACCTTAATGTTCAAGGAATTTGTCAATTTTTATGACGATGTGCCGACAAGTTAGTGGGGAACTAAGTGAAGCGGATATAATCGCATTCGTTGCACAAGACCCAAGTCTAGGAGATAATGTAGGAGAGGGCGACGACGAGGGTAAAGCGGACAGCGAGGACGAAGCAACGGACCCGGACTCAACACTTAGTGATGCACGTTGTACCATTGATGTCTTGCGCAAATTTCTTCAAAAGAAGACGATGATGAGTGACCGAACAATTAATTCAATTTCTGTACTGGTCGATGCGCTGGACAAAGTTACTCTAACAGGTAGACAAACTACAATTTCTGAATATTTTTCTGCATAAGGAGTTAACCATCCATCATTTACAATACAAACATTAAGGCTCCTACTGTAGCCTATACTATATTTTAGGATGTACTGTATCAGCAAATATTTAGTTTTCCACTATAAATGTAGAGTAACCATTTTTACACTGTAACCATTTTCAATACAGTACATCAGTGAGTCACCGTTTTGAGTTACATTAAGAAAGATAATTTTGTTTAATTTTAAGAAATATTTTATCTATTGAGACTTTGTTTTTAAATAAGTCTTCACAATTGTTAAATAAAATTACTAACAGCTCATGTGAATAACTGTACAGAGTAATTCACTATTCCATTTTTGCAGTTTATTATAAATGTACGGTAGGCTATTGAAAACTTGGTCAAGTTGCGTTAAAATGTTCTTTAAAAACCAAATGTATGTTTTGTTATACCGTATATTGTCATTGATTTTGTTTTGTACTGTCATTGATTTCAATAAATACGTATACTGTACTGAATTTGAAGTTATTATTTATTTCCCGGTCTGTTTTAAAGTATACCAAAATGTTTTTTTTATCTATACATTTAAAGCTTATTTACTTTAGTCTAAACTTTTAATGTGATGGTACCAGTCAGTTAAAAGGGTCGTAGCCGAGTGGCAAAAAACTGAGAGGGTGTCTGCCAATGACTCATTTCTTTGTTTACTTCATTAGCGCTACTCTATAACCTTTCCACTGAAAATGGCTATGAGCAGTAGAGTAGGTTCAACAAAGAATTGAACCTCTACAAATCGAATTTTGGGGAGAATGAGCCTTGATAAATCAAACCTTTATTATTCTAAGTACTCGATAATTCGAAGTTTTCCCGTTCCCCTAGGGATTCGATTTATTAAGGTTCTACTGAATATATATATATATATATATATTTATGAATTTGAACGGAGGATGTTTTTGACCTATGCGGACCTCAAAACAAAGAAGTAAATCGGTCCCAAGTCCAGGTCTTACCATGAGTACTACGGTAATAGCTTATTTCCTGTATGGGAAATTCGCTAAAACTATAAACCAAATGATGATTATTTAGTACCATAAGAAATATATTTTTCCTACAGTCACCTGACAAAGTGGGCTTCCGCACTGATTATAGTACAGAAAGTTGCTAATTGCTGCATTTACTTACTTTTTCCCCACTCTTTTTTTTGCCGCACACCGGTATTTCAAACGAACAACACAAAACAGTGTGCTTTTATTATGCACGTAATCCGTGATCCGCATATTATGTTGGCAACACTTAAAGATACTACGACTACGACTAGCTGGCCCAGTTGTATCCCATTTTGTTCAACACTTGGATTTAACCTAACCTAAAACAAGTTGTTTACTGAAAGACTAATTATTTCTATGCTTTATAGTAACTGTAGGAAAAATATAATGTGTAACACGAGTGAAAAGTGCTTTTGCTGCACTCGAGAAACTTTCCACACTCGCCTGTGGCTCGTGCATGATAATTTCTCTTGTGTGTAGTACTACTTCTACTTTGCACTCTAGTTACCCAAATAACTATTTAATATCACATTTTTTTTGTATTGTGATATAGGGCTTACTATCCAACAAAAACTTAATTGAATGAACCTAATAAAGCACTTAAAACCACACTTCATAAATAGTTTGGTTATTTAATTTTTTCTACTTATTTTCAACATTATTCGACGATTATTACTTCTATTTTTAACACTAATGATTAGTAGTTGTATTGTCATTAAAGCAAAAAAAATACCAACATCAATGACCTTTGTCCAAAAATAAACCCAAATGCATCATTCTTGGGTCCAGCTCACTTTGAGAATATAAATATAAATATTTTCAACGACCAGATGGTAGCCCAAAATTAAAACTGACATAGGCCTATAATACGAGCTATTTTTAAGTTACTAGAGTTTCAAATCGAACTGATATTGTGTTTGGATCAAATTTTTGTAAATGTTTTTAAAACCCCTAAATAAATTTTTTTAAAGTAAATATTTTTTAAATTAGTAAAATTATATTGATAATGATATTAGATACAAATCCAATCAAAGTTTTTGTTTCATTACACTTTGGTTACAAGCCACAAATGTGAAATTTCATATTTTTAGAGTCAAGAATGGGAAAAACCTATTTTTACCCCATAAAACCGCCAATACTTGGACATTGGTATCAGTATTAAAAATCCATCGTCAAAAGTCAGTCCCGATACCAATACCCGACAAAACTGCGTAGAACCACTATTGCCATGATCACGCGTGATGACAATGACGTTTCCATGGCCACGGGAGACGATGATTATGTCTGCACGGCCCCGGGAGATGTTCAGAATTTTGCCACGATCGCGAAAGACGATAATATCCGCACGACTATAATATCCACACGACCATGAGAAATGTTCATGATTTTGCCGCGATCGCGCAAGATGTTGATGACATTTCCATGCCCGCTGGAGATGGTCAGATTTTCTCAGGATCGCGGAAGATAATGACAATGTCTACGCGACCGAAAAATGTTAATGAATTTGCCACGATTGCGGAAGATGATGATGTTTCCGTTACCGCAAAGATCCAAAATACAGTCACACCAGACACAGTGAATTAAACTGTTACACAATAACGTGTCTCAACTTGAATCACCCTCCACACTCATCAAAAGACGCCAGATTACTGGAGTGTCGTGGAGAGGGTCTACTGTACTTAAAATTAGTATAATTCGTTTGTAGGAATTGTAAAATAACTTCTTGATCAGAATAGTAAGTGTTATTAAATTACCTGAAAGTACAAAAATATGTCAAGTACTTGTAATAATCATATGTCACTTGTAATAATCCAAAATAGTGGGAAACGACATTCAACTCACAGTTTCGATGAGTTTTCGGTAGTCCAGTAGCGTACTCTTGTCTTTAATCTCCCCGGAAGCGATCCAACTTTTGATCTGATCTCTGAGCCTTTGTAGTTTCTTGATTTCCTTTTTGAGATCAGCCTCATACTTCTCTTTCTGATTGCTGTTGGTAGCATTGTGGACCTTTTGCCAAATGTCCTCAAACGTTTCCACCCCTTCCGTGACTTTTTTGAGACACCGCTCGATTTCACCTATAAAAGAAATTGCACTGATAAAATTAAATCAAAACCAGTACAGTAGGTTGATTAAGAAAACATTCAGGACATGAGCTTAGGAAACAGACACATATGTATGGTATTGAACTTTTTAAGAAATATTAGATGTAGAGTTTAAAATGTCAAATTTTTCTTTATAGATCTTGAAAAACATTAAATAGTTAATGTTTAACATTAATGTTTGAAATAAAAAAATTCCATATGATGAAAGAAAGAGTAGTTTTTAAAATGAAAGCTTTAAAACTTCTAGGACCATGCATTAGTTACCTAGGTACCTATCTAGTTATTTTTAACCTAAAATTAAATACCCCCGCCGCAGCAAACCTGCCGACTAAGCGAATTTCCATTTGTCTGAATTGATTTTCAGTTAAATATATTTTAATAACATTAGGTTTAACGAGTACCTAGGTTTGCTGCTACAAGGAAACTAATAAAGTGTGTTTTTGAGTAAAATATTGATAGCGTAGTACAAAATAAATAAATTTGCCAAGTTTTATCAAAATATATCCATAAACAAGCAAACTACAACATTTGACAATATTCCCCATAAGAATAAAATGGGAATTTTAAATTTAAATTTTTTTTAAATTTTCTCCGTTACTAATAATCGAACAAAAATTCTTTTATATACTAAATTATTTGTTTTTTTAAGCGCTTTAAAAAGGTCTAAAAAGAAATCGGGAAATTTTGTGCCCCGTCCCCATGGTCCGATCATGCTGGTTTGCGAACTCATTCAAGTTTATCCCGCTTTACACCTTTAAACCAAATTTCATCAAAATCGGACAAAAATTACTCAAGTTATCGCGTTCACGGACGTATATATATATATATATATATATATATACAAGTCTATATATATACATATATAAAAATTTGAACGAATGGTGTTTTTGGCCTCTGGGGACATCAAAATGAAAAAGTAAATCGGTCCCGGGTCTAGGTCTTACCGTGCCACCTACGGTAATAGCTACTTCCCTATAGAGAAATTCGCTAAAAATGTGATGGTGCCTAAATCTAAACGATATTTGGAAAATATTGATCCTGGTGAATGGATTTTAGACTTTTTAAACTGTAATAAGTAGGTATTTGGAATAAATTTTAAGCTCTTATTCCCAACCTAAGACGTCTGCGCTAGAATAAAATTTACTCTTAGATCTCCACCTTGTTAACATTATAAGTTTTCATGATAATAAAATGGAGTTGGTGGTAAAATTATGTAAATGTTATGAATAGTAAAATTTGTTTAGGGCTATGTTTTATTTAACTGAACCAGAATATCCAACGCCATTTTTAACTTAATTAAATAAATAAACCACATGTTTTTAAAGCTTTGTAACTATTTCCTAAAAATATAAAAAAAGGTCCTCCACATAATATTTTTGTCCATACCTTAAATTTTTGAAGTTTGAAAAACCTCAATGTAATAACAATATTCTTTCTCATTGAGAACGTCAAAAAGGCTAGTTATTTTTGTACCTCATAAAATATCTATCTTCGTATGGTCACCATTTCACTTAAAAGTATTAAAGTATTAATGTTTTAAGCACTCAATTAATTGAGATAGTAAACAACATAAAATCTTAATGTGATATTTCTCTAATATGAATTGTAAATAATGTATTTAAAAGCATTAAGAACAAAGCCGTGTAACAGGTTGATACATACAAAGTAGTATAATTGTCAATAATTCAGTAATAACAATAATTATGAAATAATAACCGTAGAAAAGTTTATCTGCGCAAAAAGTGCAGATGAGAATGAAGCCTTCAACGACCTTTTTGACTTTTCAACTGCCCGTAGGCCACTACGTTTATCAGATAAGTTAGTCATTGTGGTTGAGCGCAGTGCGACCTTATGTAAATTTGTTGTATTTATTCACTTTCTTTCAAAAACATATTTAGTCTTTTCAAAAGTTTTTTTTTACAATGACAGAATATTTTTTACACCACAAATCACTGGAGGAAAATAGTTGAAACGATCAAATGTTGCTATAAAGTTGTAAAAGAGGTAGTTTCTGTCTGTATTAGCAAATTTCCCTATAGGGAAGTAGCTATTAATCAATCAATCAATCAAATAATTCTTTATTCAATAAAACACAGAGTACATGTGTTGAATAGAGTCAAGTCAACAACATTAGAAAGTAAACATTTAGTCGAGGGCTTACTCAATAAAAACAATAATGTATTTCTAAGCACCGTGAAGATAAAAAAAGTAAATAAATAAACAAATTTATTACCGTAGGTATAACTATCATGGTAAGACCTAGGCCCGAGACCGATTTACTTTTTCATTTTGATGTCCCCTAGAGGCCAAAAACACCATTCGTTCAAATTTTTATACATGTATATATATACAGGGTGATTGATATAAGTGTGCCAGCCGTTTTATTCGAAAACTATAAGAGATATCAAAAAAAGTTAAATGGTAAGTGTGCCTTTGATTTTTTATTTAAAAAATTGTAGTCGGGTCAAAAAAATTATTTTAGCCGCCATTTTTCCAATATGGCCGCCAACTTTGATTTTTTTCATGAAACACCCTGTATTTTATTATGTATTCTGGTAGAAAATGTAATTTTAAGACGATTTTATTATTGTGATTTTTTTCATAAACCTAACCGTTTCAAAGATAATAATGGTTAAAGTTTTGAAATTTCTGCATGAGAAAGAGTTTCGATAAAGGCCTAAGCAAGCATGCCAGCTGTTGAATTCGAAAACCATTCAAAATTTCACAACTTAAACCATTATTATCTTTGAAACGGTTAGGTTTATGAAAAAAATCACAAGAATAAAATTGTCTTAAAATTACATTTTCTACCAGAATACACAATAAAATACAGGGTGTTCTATAAGAAAAATCAAAGTTGGCGGCCTTTACTACAATTTTTAAAATAAAAAGTCCAAGGCACTTACCATTTAACTTTTATTGATATCTCTTATGGTTTTCAAATAAAACGGCTGGCACACTTACATCAATCACCCTGTATATATCTATAGAGATATACAGGGTGTTTCAGAATTAGAGTCGGATATTTTAGGTTATTATTCCTGGGTAAGAAACATATCCAAATATCATATCCAAACAGTCTGGAAGTCTTTATTTACTCAAACAGCCGCCATTTTGTTTTTTTCCTTTAATATTTTTTTTTAAGAGAATGGTTAAACATACGAAATTGAAACTTTGCAAAAACATTTCTGACTACTAGACAAAGCTACAAAAAAATTATGAAAATTTTCCAAATACATAAAACAAGATGGCGGCAATTTAAAATTTTGTTTCTTAAATAACTCAAAAACCGTTGATTTTCGGCTAAGGTCTGCCACAACAATGCAACAGTTTCGTTGGTAAATAATAACTCAATTGTATCAGTAACGTTTGGTTAATTAATGTAGAAACTCAAGTTTCACACAACAACCAAGTCAAGTTATTGTAGTTGTGTTGTCAAGTTTGTAGTTGTGGTATTGTCAAGTTTTGGTGTATATATATATGTGTGTGTGTGTGTGTGTGTGTGTGTGTCCATCCGCACGATAACTTGAGTAATTTTTGTCCGATTTTGATAAAATTTGGTTTGAAGGTGTAAGGCGGGATAAACTTGAATTATTTCGTGAACTTGCATGATCGGACCATGGGAACGGAGTTTAACAGGGGGTTTTATGAGGTAAAAATGGGTTTTTCTCATTTTTTACTCTAAAAACACAAAATGTATCAATTTTTCCCTAGACCTTTTTAAAGAGCTTAAAAAAAAAAATTTAGTATATCAAAGTGTTTTTGTACGGTGATCGGTTACGGAGAAAATTCAAAAAATTGTTCATTTAAAATTCCTATGTTATTCTTATAGAGAATATTATATGTTATAGTTGGCTTGTTTATGGAAATATTTTGATCAAATTTGGCGGATTTATTTATTTCATACTAAGCTATTGATATTTTAATAAAAAACACACTTTATTTTTTCCCCCTGTAGCAGCTAACCTAGGTACTCGTTAAACATAAATGTTAATTTAATAGATTAATTGAAAATCAATCCAGGCAATAGGAAATTTACTTAGTCGGCAGGTTTGCTGCAGAGGGGGTATATCTATTTGTCCCAGGTGATCATGAAAACTACTGAACTTTACTTGGCAGAAATTTGCACAATATTAGTTAATTTGTATCAATCAATTATCAATTATTTAAGATGGGGACGCCAATATGTGCGTATTTTAACCCAAATATGAGTGTAGGATGAGTGGCGCGATCTGTTATTCTTATTTGTGATTAAGGCCGACATGCACCTGGCCAACACACAGCCAGGCCTATTTGTATCCCCATGGGCACCAAGGGTTCCCAGGTAGTGGTTTAGCAAGTAAATATTGAATGGTCCCTAAAGCAATAAAGAGAAACATCACAAACGTTTCTATAGTTCACATTTACTTTGTTTACATTTCAATAAAGTTATTACTAGGCTATATACGGAACTACGGAAAAAAGGCTGGCAAGTAGTAGAAGAAATACATTGCATTGAAGATGGTGGATCAAACAGAAGATTGGACATTTTAATAAGTGACACAAAATCTAAAAGTGTAATTATAATTGATCCAACCATAAAGTTTGAAATATCAAAATCAACCCTTAGAAGTTGATGAAGAAAAGATAAAAATTTATAGTAAATGTAAAAATTATTTAAGAAACAAATATTATCTAAATTCTATATCAGTAATTGGCATAATGATTGGTGCAAGAGGGACTATAACAAAATTTTTGACGAATTTATAAAAAAATATAATCTTTCATCAAAATTAAAAAATGAAATAGTTATAAAAGTGTTAAAAGCATCATGTAAAATCATTCAAAATTATTTATATGAACAACATTAAGTTACTTATTATTTATAGGCCTATCATAAATTTAAGTTTATTGTTACTGTGTCTAATAGGCAAAGTTTATTATAATAAACTCAGTTTTCAAAATAAAATAAATAGTTCAGCTTTTTCACTTAT